CCTTTGCGTTTGCAGAAAGTCAACGGATCCCCGTTCATGACCAACGATGCGGGTTTCGCCTTGGCCTACGCCGTCATAATGCTCAACACCGACCAGCACAACCACAACGTGCGCAAGCAGAACATCCCCATGACCGTGGAGGTAAGCCCCCCCATGACCCATTTCACTCTCCTTTTGGGGGCGGACAGGGACCAGGATGTGTGTGCAGGTTCCATAAAAAAATAATAATAGTGAAATGGATCTTTCAAACACTTAATTCAACTCTATGCATATTATGTTAAAATAGTGGATGTTAAATAGGTTTGTACAATAAGTCCAAACAATTTTAACCAAAAAATATTTATTTCTCACAATTATGAAGGCTGGAGGGTAAGGGTTAGGGTTAGGATTAGGGTTAGCGTTAGGGTTAGGGTCATTAATGTGGGCCACCAGTCCCAATAACATCAGTAACAGGTCAGTTTGAAATGAAAGACACAATTCAGTTAAATTTGGGGTCTTTGTTTTTATCCTTGTGGTATCGAAAATGGTATCGAGTATCGAGTATTTTCCTATCTATCGGTATCCAGTTGAAAATGTTAGTATCGTGACAACCCTACATGAGAGAGTGTGGTGGTCGTTTCACATGCAAAATCCTTCTGCTGAGTCAGCGTTATTTGCGCTGGGGATCCGTTCGAATGCTTTGAAGAAATGCGAACGGTGTTGAGATTCCTGCGGATGTGTGGGCATTAGCGGCCGAAGGCGGGGGGTCGGGGGGTGGGGGGAGGGGCTACTCCATGCCTCTGTTTTCCCTCCCTTTGACTGACAGCAGCTGAAGACTAAACATCGTCTCAGGGGAAGCCAGTGAGCAGTCTGTGGGTGGCCACAGACAGCCTGATCCTGTCCATCTTCCTGATGTCAGGCCGTGCCTCGTTTTACGTTTATGTTTAGATTTATGTTTAGGTATATGCATTTGTCAGACGCTTTTATCCAAAGCGACTTACAGAGTAGACCCAATATTCCATTTCTCATCACTATGACAATAAGCTATCCAGAGGAGAAACACTGATCAGAGTCAGTGGTGAGATAGAGATAGAGGTAGAGGGACTACAGAAGGAGCTGTGGGGGGTAGAGGTACGGGTTAGGGTTAGGATAGGAGCTGTGGGGGGTAGAGGTACGGGTTAGGGTTAGGATAGGAGCTGTGGGGGGTAGAGGTACGGGTTAGGATAGGAGCTGTGGGGGGGTAGAGGTACGGGTTAGGGTTAGGATAGGAGATGCTCTTTGAAGAGGGGGGTCTTCAAGAGTTTCTGAAGACGGGGACTTGTGGGCTAGCATCAGGGACTTGTGGGCTAACATCAGGGACTTGTAGGCTAACATCAGGGACTTGTGGGCTAGCATCAGGGACTTGTGGGCTAGCATCAGGGACTTGTGGGCTAGCATTGGTCTATAACTTTCAGCTGAATTAGGATCTTTACCAGGTTTACAAATGTGTATAATAATGGCTTCTTTCTATTTATCAGGTAATATCCCTTCCTCCCACACCTTATTATAAAATTCTAACAATATTTCTTTACTTATATCACTAAGATTATTTAACATACTTTAACTAATTTGATCATTCCCAGGAGTAGATTTACTGGAATTTTTCAATGCTTTATTTAATTCTAACAAAGAAAACTTCACGTTAATAAACTCCTCACAAACATCATTATGGACCAATTCAATATCCCCAGTGGAGTTCAATGAACAGAGGGGTGACGTGAGATTTTTTGGGCTGATATGATGCCAGCGTTACGGTCTCCGAGTGTTTTGTACATTTTTGGAAAAACTGCACCTGCTGTTCTTCCTGGCTTTTCAAATCGACCAACTAGTTCTTGCGAAGTTTAGTGCCTTTTGGAAATTCCTGTTCGATGTTTGGGTGGAGTGAGCTCAAGTGACGCGGAAGATTTGAAACTTTGAAATGCGCTAATGCTGCGTCGCATATAAGGCAGATCGGCTTGCCATTACGTTTAACAAAAAAACATAAACTCTCCCACTCTGGCAAAAACGTCTTGTGTTCTTCTTCATATTTTCGTTTCGCCAGTCAAGTCTACGTGTTGCTGTGTTGGTTGCTTCTCTCTCTCTCTCTCTCTTTCCCTCTTTCTCACTCTCTCACCCCCAACCGGCCGAGGCAGATGGCCGCCCACCCTGAGCCTCGGTTCTGCTCCAGGTTTCTGCCTGTTAAAGGAAATTTTTCCTTGCCTGTGTCGCCTAGTGCTTGCTAATGGTGGGAATTGTTGGGTTTCTGTAGTTAACTTCAGAGTAGGTCTGACCTGCTCTGTTTGGAAAGCTGTGAGACAACTGTTGTTGTGATGTGGCGCTATAGAAATGAAATTGAATTGAATTGAATTAATTTTAATTTTGTAATGTCATTGTCTGAACGTGTGTTTGGACTGATTTTGTATTTTGTGATCTTGTGTTGTTTGGTCTTCCTGCCTCAGGACCACAGATGTAAACTAGCAACTATGCTAGAATCTGGCTCATTTACAATCTGTATGAGATTGTTCATTAATGTGCACTGTCCTGATTAAATAAATAAATAAATAAAGGCGGGTACTAGAGTTTTACAGCTGGCGCTGTCCCCCCTGCAGGAGTTTCTCTGAACTCCGGGCTCAAATGACAGTGGCGGGCTTCCACACAATAGATTTTACAGGCCCAGTAAAAGTGGCGCCCAGCGCTGGACTTACTTAGCGGCTTGCAATGCGACGCACGCCCTGCAGCAAGTGTTGGCAGCGGGGGGGGTTATTTTTGCCACGGGGAAACTTTTCCCCGCGTGTAAATCAGACGGGACGCGTTTGGCGCCAGGTCAGGGGAAGGTCAGTTTTTTGCCC